GCTGCCGGTGTGGATGCGTCGGGGGAGGAGCGGGGCTGCTCCTCCACCTTGACCCCCCCCCCCTCGATCTCTGGTGGGGCCACGGAAGGGGATAACCCCACCAAAGCTTTCCCTCTTGGGGAACCTGTTCCCGGGGATGGGGTGCACCGGGCAGTCGGGACGAGAAGCGCTCAGGGAGGGGGAATATCTTGTGACCAACGCATCTTGTAGGGAGAGGGGAAACTGAGGCACATGGTGGTGCTGCAGGGGGGACCCTCACCTCTACCAAGCAGTCGCCCACCAGCCCGAGGAGCAGACGGGCCCCACTGTGCTGCCACACCAGCGCCGCATTCTCCGAGCGCGTCATGCAGGTGAAGTCGAACATGTCGACGTCCGGCAGGTCCCGGTGATTGAGGGCAAACTCCAGCTTGGGCAGGCAGTAGTTGGTGGAGAAGTTGGCGGCTTCTTTGGCGTAGCTGTGGAGGGCATCCCGGTTCACGTTCTCCGGGGACAGGAGGCTCTCGATGTCCGCTTTGTCCTGCGGGGATGGGGATGGGGTGAAGCCGGCCGGGATGCGGGAGGTGGTGTTTGTCCCCAGCCTGGGTGCAGCCAGCTCTGGGGTGAAGCCGTGCCACCGGGCTTGGGGCTGTGAGTCCCCCAGAAGGAGATTTTCCCCCGGCACAGGCAATGGCTGCCGAAGCCCCCACCATCCCAAGGGTGCCCGGTCAAACCAGCACCCATGATTTGCATCCCACCCTCCAGGCTTTCAGCCGCCCAACACTATGGGATCCCGGAGCCAGATCCTGCCCTCTTCACCTGGAGGATGACCCCCTTCTTGAGCAGGCTCTGCTTCTTGGCCGTCATGACGAAATAGTGAGTGTCGTCCTTGTAGTAGACGATGTTTTCCAGGTCGATGCCTGGTGATGGGGAAGGGGCTGAGCTGAGCCACGGGGCAGAGCCGCGGCCACGGGGAGCCCCCGCACCGGGCCCAGCCACCAAATGTCCCCTGCAACGGGGCACCATGCGGGGACAAGCATCCCACCACACAGAGGACATCCCAGGGCTGAGCCTCCAGTTGCACCGGGGGACACACGCACACCCCCGGGGAACCCCCACACCAGGGCTGGGACCACCGACCTGTTTTGTTGTAGAGGTTTTGGAAGAACTTCTGGTTGTAGATTCGGGCCACGCCACTTATCTCGGCCACCTCCACCTCAGCCCGGCTGTGGCGGTTGATGAAGTTGGTGGTGATG